CCCCCCCCCAGCCAGTCAGTAGCAGTGAATATAGTGCCCAAATCATGACCTTTATCATATTCTGCATATACATGTTTATATTTTCAAATAGAAGTAATGGGGGTGGGGGGTTGTGGGCTAAAAACTAAAGAAAATGGTTACTTACAGGAGAATGGATGGAGCATAGAGAGTAAAAGGGACAGAGTTGGATAATACTTCTGATTTGTTTTTATAGTTTTGAATTTGGAACCACATAATGTTTTAAAAATTAGATCTTAAAATAAAACTGAAAAGCAAAAGCAGCCTGAAACAAGTGAACCTAGCTATATATCTAGGAGGTGATGTAACAACCATGCAGAGAGGGATTATTTCAGGTAATTTTAATTTTAAAACCCCATATTTTGACTATTTCTTGTGGGATATATTTTAGAGACAATAATAACCACAAAGAGATTTTTAACCTACATTTAGTAATCTTATTTTTAGTAATAATATTGGTATTGTTCGAGAGATGTGTTGGTGGTCTTTCTCTGTTGCTAATGGGAGTGGGGTTCTTGGAGTACCGTTGGAATAAGCATTTCCAGAGGCCCCCACGGGAGGATGAGATGTGGTAGAAAGCTTTATTTGCATGGAATTACGTCCCTGGGATTGCAAAGTCCCATTTCCCTTAGTTCAGTCCTAGAAAATGTGCACCTGGGGATTCAGTAGAGCTAGAAGCAAAGCCAGTGTCCAGAGTTTCCATTTGATGGCGGAGCTGAGTCCGGTTTAGCATCAGGCTAGTTGCAGTCCATAGTCCATTTCATGTGGGGTCCACATGGCCATGGGCCATTAGGTGAATGCAGGAGCGTGAGAGTCCCACAAGCCAGGAGCACGAACCAAGAGAAAGCAAGCTCCTTTGTTTAGGAGCTTAAGTGTCTCATCTTCCCGTGCTTGCAGCGGCCAGGCTTATCCTGCCAATGACCTGTTCCCAGGGGTGGCTGCCACACAGCTACCTTCCCTATTTCACCCCGACTTTACTGGGCATGCCTCTAGTATTTGGCCTTCCTTTTGCTCCTTTTCAGTTATTCACAACTAGTTCATTACAACAGTATCATTATCGTTGTGTTGAAACTCTTACTTATATACATTGTAGGATAAAGAAAATAGTCAATGTCAGTGTTATTAGGAACTATAGTTTTCAGCATAAGAAAAAATGATACGATTTAAGAAGGTAAGTAAAAGCTTGGTAATATTTGATTTAAAATGGAAAAATCAATATGAACTCATGATTTAAGTTTTTTCTTTCTTAAAAAACTACCTTATTTTCCCCTAGTTTTGTCCACCAAAAGGGTGTAGAAAATAATGGCAAGTCAATAGTAATAAATGTTTGTAGCACCCAGATTGTGGTCTTGGAATACTAGTCCTTTCTGAAAGGAGCAAGGGGTCCTTAGGGAAATGATGATTTCAGGTCTGGAATGTTGTTTCTTACAAAAAAGCAAGAAGGTATCAAAGACTATGGGAATTGTACCAAAAGAACACAGTAACCAACACAAAGGGGACTCCCACTGACCAAATTGGGTAACTGAGCCTCAAAAAGAAAAGCAACTACAATGTATTGCAGCACATCAAATATATTTTTTAAATCCATTATTTCATAATGAGATGCCCCACAAACCAAAGAAAGCAACTTAATCACCTTTGGAGGTTGATAGAGCAGCAGCTTATTATTATGAAAATTAGGAAATGAAGGCAAAGGAAGAAACATTCATCTTTACTTTTCTCTAAATTGTATTTAAGTAGGAGTAAGCAAGTAGTTGGGGAAAGCTTACTTTTTAGCAAAAATGTAGCTAGTAAATGCAGAAGGAATGTAGAACTAGAAAAGTCATGATTTTATAATTTTTAAAACTTTTTTATATATGTCTTTATTGATTTCAAAGAGGAAAGGAGAGGGAGAGAGAGAGATAGAAACATCAATGATGAGGGAGTCATTGGAGATCGAGCCCGCAACCCGGGCATGTGCCATGACCAGGAATCAAATCTCGATCTCCTGGATCCTAGGTCGATGCTCAATTGCTGAGCCACGCCCGGCCAGGCTATAAATTCTTATAAAATAATGGAATTTAGCAAAGGTCATCAGTGGATAATAAACTCATTAGATAGAAGCATTTTGGCTGAATCAGGCTGACTCCAGCTGAATCCACTGATTGGTTTTAACATCACTAAACGTGGTACAGCCAGACGCCTCCTGAGTACTAGTACTATGAGGACAATTTTTAAAGGTAGGTGATAAAGGCCCATTAGATTTATTGTCCTATGTAATTATTAAATAATATATAGTCACCTGAAATATCTGTCAAACCCTGACCAAGACAGTGCTTTATTAAACTTTTTGACCTCTGCCATCTGATAGCAAATCCTGGTATTTTGTGATAATTCCCTCGTTTTTCCTTTTAGAACTTATTTTGGTTTTTCATTTTGTTGTGTTCCAATTTGTTCCTAATTGAATATAATGTTCTTTATGCTCAGTGCTGTGCAAAGTGAATGAGATAGAAGTGGCCCCACCTGTCCAGTAAGTTGCACATGTATATGGACACATTCACACACTGGAAATGCAGATGAGCTCAGATATTACAAGCTCAGAATGACTATTTGGGTGTTTAAAACATGAACACTTTGGCCCTGGCCAGTTTGGCTCCATGGTGAGAGCATCAGAACACAGTCTAAAGGGTCCCTGTTTGATTCCAGCCAAGGGCATGTACCTCGATTGTAGGCCAAGGGCCGGGGTGCAGCCAATCCATGTGTCTCTCACATCGATGTTTCTCTCTCTCTCTCCCTCTCTGTCTCTCCCACTCTCTGAAAAGCAATAGAAGTATCCTTGAGTGAGGATTAAAAAAAAAAATTAAAAATACAAAAATAAACACGAACACTTTGTATTTTAAGAAGATAAGGGCATTTCCATCATGCTGCAGTGTGTTTAAGAAGATGAAGACATAATAAATGTGAAAATTAGAATTGATGGCTGAGGACTGTGGAAACTAATCCACCTTTTTTTTTGTAGCTTTTTCTGTTGGCCTGTTGACTTGTTGCTTGTTTTCTTGACACTGCTTGATTCCTCTCTCTCAGGCCAATGCTTTCAAACTTACATTAGTAGAATAAAGGAAAAAAGATGAAATAGATAGTATAGTACTCTCTTAAACCAGTATGTTCTGTAGACAATAGGTTTAAAACTTTGGAATGAGGACATGGTGAAAATATTTTTAAGTGGCTGGCTGATTATATATTTGCTATAAACCACTTTATTTATATTGCTCTAGGTTGGCAAATAAACAAGACAAGGAAGGGGCTTTAGGAGAAGCTGATGTGATTGAATGTCTGTCTCTGGAAAAAATGGTCAATGAGCACAAGTGCCTGTGTCAGATAGTAAGTTTTGGGGTTTGCTTTTTTTTGCCCTATGAAATGTGTGCAGTATAACTTAGTTTTTGTAAAGGTGACAGGCAATTAGGTGGCAGACACCTAAGAAAATAATTCATAAGTGTTTTAAAATATGTATTTTTAATCCTGGAAATCACATTCTCACTGTTTTGTTGCTATTAATATTGTAATATTTGTTTTCTATATAGTTGTGATTGACTTCCATAAGCTATCTTTTGAGATTTTTAAAGACTTTAAATTTGCTTGTTGTTTAAGATACTGCTGACAGGACTTGTAAGCTGTATAAGCACGTCTTGCTATAAATTTTGTAAATGGTAAAGAAAACATAAATACAAAATTTAAACATAGGAGAGGTTTGCAGTGAGTTTTGAAAAACCGTATCAGGAGAGTTATCATATAATCTTAAGAAAGATGACCAGAGGATTTTATTCTGATTTCAGAAGATGGTCATTAGACTCTCAATCTTCAAAGGTATTTACTGCTATAAATTCCCTAGTATAAGGACTGGAAGTTCAATTTTGTCATCCAGTGAGTTTGTTGAAAGTTTTAACTGGCACTGTCAATTTCCTGTGTCATAATATCTCTCAGCTTACACATATTGTACTTTAAATATTTCAGCTCCTATGTACTAATGTTAGTGGTCATTACAACGGTATGTTTTTTGAGTTAAATAAGCAGGTACTTTATATCATTAATTTAATGGGTTAATTTTGATTTACCAGTGATTATACTTAATGGTTTATGAACAGATTTTTGTGGAGAGCTTTTGGTTTTAATATTTAAGTCAAATAAATTGCTGTTTGTCAGGAACCTTGTTCAGCAATCTTGGGATCTGGAAAGAAAATTGACAAGTCCATTAAAAAAGGTCTTTATTGGCTGCTACATATCATTGCAAGAGACTTTGATGCCTTAAATGAACGCATCCAAAAAGACACAACAGAACAACGCGCTCTTGAGGAACAAGAGAAACGAGAAAGGGCTGAGCGTGTGCGAAAATTACGAGAAGAAAGGTAAGTAGATTAATTTTTTAACACAGTGTGTTTGAAATGTCAAAAACACCACCACAATTTTATGAATAATTTCTTAGTTTAGTTTTTTTGTATTCAGTTTCCTTTTTCTGTCTGAAGGCAGACACTAGGTAAGTTTTCTGTTTTCTCTACACAAGTTTGGGCAATAAGATTCTAATTTTCCTGGTGGTGGTATTGTTATCGGTGGAAGTGGGGTATCCTCTTCCCCTCTCGGTACTGAGGGTGGAGTCCTCATGATATCTTGAGAAAAAGAATTTTCTGGGACTTGCACAGGAGGATGAGTGAATTTTTTTTGCGTGGAATTACATCTCTGGGTTTCCAAAGTCCCATTTCCCTTAATCCAGTCCTGGAAGAAATGCAGCTGGGGATTCTGTAGAGCTAACAGCAGAGCCAGTGTCCAGAGTTTCCTTTCTATGTTGGAGCCAGGTCCAGGACTGCATCAGGCTAGCTGCAGTCCATCAGTCCATTGTGTGGGGTCCACATGGCTGGGGACCATGTGGGCACATGCAGGGGAGCCAAGAGAACGGGACTTCTACAAGAGTCCCAAGAGAACCAAGAGAGCCATAGCCAAGGGAGCGAACTTCTTTGTTTAGGGGATTAGATATCTCAGATCTTCCCTCAATTGCAATGGCCACACCTACTCTGGCCAATGACCTGTTCCCAGGTGTGACTGACAGGCAAGCAGCTTTCTGTTTCACCCAGACATTACTGGGCCTGTGTCTATTCTCTCCACTGTCCAGTCCCTTCCCCCAGGGATCTATGGGAGAATAAACCAGTGGCTCCCTGGGGAGTGTTAAACTGCAGCTCCTGGCAAAGCTGCACAAATGACATGCCCATAATATTTGGCCTTTCCTTGCTGCTTTCCTGTTATTAATAACTAGGTTAATTACGGCAGTATCATTATGGTAGTTAAGTTTATTCCTTATGTATTTATTACTTCTAAGAGTTTTAAAATTTTTATCTGTTTCTTATGGGTACCCTTATTGCAGTGGTTTTCAAATAAGCCGGATTTGCTTCTCAAAGGGAATTTGGCAGTGTCTAGAGACATTTTTACTTATCACAGCTGGGGGGAGGTGGAGTGCTATTGGCATCTAGTGGGTAGAGGCCAGGAAGCTGCTCAACATCCTGTGCTGCACAGGACAGTCCCCTATAACGAAGAGTTATTGAATCCACTATCAGTAGATTGAGAAACCCTTCTTTAGTCTCAGCAAAGACAGAAGGTAAGCTGTTAGTGGATCAGTCAACTGAGGCAAAATCTGATCTTCAACACTAGTTTTTCAGAAAGTAAACTAAATTGCACTGTCTCAGGTTTTTAAATATATTTTTCAAATTATTTTTAAGGAAACTTTTAACTAAATTTAGCAAACTGAATTTTTAAAAAAAAGATTACATAAATTCTAACACAGAATCACAATAGTCTTACTGCTACAAAAATATTCAGATTTGATTAGAAGTTGAATTTAGCCCTTTATCCCAAGATTTCTCTTTCTTTTGTCAACTGGATGGTTGCATGGCAAGGGAGGGGAGAAATGAAATTATATTTAAGTGAGCTCCTGCAAGATCCAAAGTTGTCTTCCGCCTGCCTAAGTAATATTGGCCTTCCATGTGCTGTCACATAGTTGCAGCCTGTAGACAGGAACCCACTAAGCCGCCTTGGTGATGCCTTTGTAAGTGTTCTCTTGCACTGTTGAGGAAGTCCTTTGATTGCAGGTATTTTTCATTAAATTTAGAGGTAGGACTTAAAGGAAAGAAATATCTGTAGAGATAACTCTTCATCCCAGAGTGCTCAATAATATGAGCAGGTCATCATCTAGGTCCCTCTTGATACTATTGTGAGGTTTTAGTTCCTGTGAGAATCTTTGGTTTTCTAACCTACTGGATATTTTCATGATATAAAGCTCAGTACAACCAATCATTCATTTAGTTCTACCTTTTATATATTTATAAAAATAAAATATATGGCCATACTTTTCTGAAGACTCCTTTTTTCATTAACAAAACATGAACAAAAAATTGAGTTGGATAAAAGAAACCTAATGTTAGTCATTTTTCCCCTAAGTTGTTACCTTTTCCATAAAGATATTCTAGGTTGTGTTATGGCAGCCGTTTCTAATACCCATTCCCCTTTCCTCCTTTCTCCTAGCCATGCCACATGTTTATCTGAGGCCTCTCCTGTTGAGCAGAGTCTCCATAATTAAAATTAAATTTAGGATTTAGAGAGGAGTGATTAAAAAAAAACAAAAACCCACCTTTTTACTTCATTAAATCTAATCTTATAGATTCAGATATTTTTGAAAAACTGTAAAAAATTATTGTTGGTATCTGAAAATAGCATTTTAATAATAGATACCTGAAATTGCTTGCTAATAAGTTAATAACATTCATAACAATTACTGTTATAAGTAACAGTAAATATAAATAACAAGTATGTTAATTTACAGAGTGCTTTCACATATATTACTTTAGCTGAAACAGTCCTATGAAGTAGGTATTTTTATCCACGTGGAAAGGCTATCATTCAAAGATCCAGATACATGCCCAAGGTCACAGAGGTAGTAAATTGCAGATCTCTAAATCCTGGCTCGCTAGGTTCAGAATGAAAGGATAGATCTTTCCATCAGGAGACAACTAATAAACGTCATGGTAATGAACATTCACATTGCTGTACTAGGGTTGCAGCTCAGTTGCTGATCTACACTAGTCATCTTTCTGTCTTCAGCCAGTCATCTTTCTGTCTGCAGCTACTTGTTTTATAACTTAATTACTCTTCATGTATGGGACAACATTAACTATAAGTCACAGAGATAGTAAATGTTTCAGTAGTAATGGATATGGAAATACTTATTTAAGTGATATAGTGCAACTTATCTTTATAGCCCCTTCTATTGTGCAAGGTGACAGTCCCGGTGCCCTCTCCCCCCACAGGCATGCATCCTTTAAACTCAGGTACCCCCGAGGCTTGCAACCAGGACTACAATGGGCAGCTGCAGTTCATCCCAGGCAAACCCCCTGAACCTGTCTGAAGGCCCCCCTTTTTTCTGACTTTTTAGTGAGCCAGAGTCCCAGCCTAGGTTCATTTCCCCACCTAGTCCCTCTCCTGTTACCTACCCTAGGCCCTTCCTTGATTCACTGTCCCCAGCTTTAATGAACAGCCTCTAAAATTCAAAATAGTGACAATAGTAATGATGATGATGATGGTAGTTTAAGGGGCCTCTGGGAAAAAGTTAAAAAGAAGTGAAAAAAGAAGCATCAGTCACTGTCTCCTTCATATATGGTAAAGAGTGTGACAGGGCCCTTCAGAAGAGGGTCAGCAAGAGGACTGACTTGTTCACATCAGTGAGGAGGACACGTCAGTTTGGGACGGTAATTAATAAATTGATAATATAGTAACTTAGCACATAGAATAATTAAATGCACTCTTGACATTAAAAAGTCAGTCATAGGGAATGTTACTTTTGTCAGCATTTCTTTCTTTTATAAATTCAAATGAATAATCTTTACCTGGGCCTGGAGGCCTGTTAGCTGCATAAGGATTTCTGAAAATCTCTCAGTAATTTAAAGCCATATCCAGATGTTTAAATTACTAAATTTAATAGCCTCAAACCTATTGCAAGTGTTCTTAAACATGGCTCAGCATTTTCTCAGGAATTACAATTTTTCCCCCTCTAACAATAGAGAACAAAGAGAGCGAGAGCAGGCTGAACTCGATGGAACCAGTGGTCTGGCTGAGGTGGACTCAGAACCAATTACTGTTAATCCTTTCCAGCCGATAGCAACTGTAATCATTGAGGTATGGATGAAGGCAAATGTAATTTTTATATCTTAAGTTATAAAGTGGGAAGTTAAGAAAGGAGGCAGGGAATTGGGAAAGGAGGCAGGGAGATAGGAAGAAGTGTTTCACTAGAGACATTGTTTCGAAAAGAATTAAATGGAAGAGACGGCGGGTTAAAGGTTTACTGCCCTTTCTCCCTCTTCAGATTTATCTTCCGATCTAACAGGAAAGGTGGCTGCAGAATTAACAGAATGAAAAGGAAGATTGAATGTAGCCACTGTAATACTGTTGTGATAAATCATTTTTTGTCATTAATTTCATATGGTAGTAATATATTTACTCTTGTTTACATTGTCCCTATCCCTGTATTACTGTTACTATCATCTCTTTACAGTAATATTTAGATGCTCATGATCCATTAGAGTACATAATTGAATTTCTGGTTGTTTACCCAGGATACTTAAGAGTGTTTGAAATTATAATAAATTATTCTGTATGTAAATATGATTAATTTTAATTTTAATTGTCAGAAGTTTTACCAAAATTAACTTGTAGATTTTAATCATGACAAAGTTAAGGGGTGTGTGTGTGTGTGTGTGTGTGTGTGTATGTATCTGTGTCTTTGTTTTCATTTTCCACTGCTGTCCAGAGTGTGCGTTGGCCTTGCTTTAACCGCCCTCAGCAGCCAGGCCTCCTCAGGCCAGAGCTTCCTAACCTTCCTCTCCCTTCACCAGAGCAGTGTGGCAGCTGGTTTGCTGGGCCCACTGCTCTCTGCTCTCCACCCCCTTCCCCTGTCGCTGCCTCCTGCACAGGTGCTCATCTGGAAGGTGGATGGTTGTTTTCTTCCTCGGGGCTGCTGCTGAGGAGGGAGGCAGCTCCGCAGGTAAGAAGATGATTGGGTAATTTTGGTATTGCTTTATTTTGCAAAATAATTGGTAATATGAAATATTTGGATTTAAGTTGCTTAGGTACCAGAAGGTTAATTGGATTTAATCTCTTTATTAACCCCGTTGCATTTAACTTAATTAAATGTGTGCTTTTCTAAGTACAGTAGAGCTGTCTTAAGCTATTGTTTTGTCTCCATCCTGTTAAATATTATATTTGTCAAGTTTTCTTTTATGCTCTTTAAAAATATTGGTGGAGAAGAGGGAAATCAAGTTTGACTTTTCACTGTGAAGCATTAATTTATATGTGTAGTAAAGCTCACCTTGTAAATAATGACTTATTTTATAGTACCATGTGGCCAGGGCCGTGGTTACTTAGAAAAGGCCTTAGTGCCTCTGACAACATTGGATATTTCACTGAATAAAGATGTGAACAATACTGGTGTACAGAATAGTATACCTTATTGAAAATCCCTGAATTAGTGGCATGGGGAAAGTGCACTTATTATGCTTTTATTTTATTTATTTATTTTTTAAAATACTTTATTTGAGTCTTTTTTTTTTAAATATATCTTTATTGATTTCAGAGAGAGGAAGGGAGAGGGAGAGAGAGAGATAGAAACATCAGTGGTGAGAGAGTCATTGACCGGCTGCCTCCTGCACGCCCCCGACTGGGGATGGAGCCTGCAACCCGGGCATGTGCCCTGACTGGGAATTGAACCCCGATCGCCTGGATCCTAGGTCAATGCTCAACCGCTGAGCTACGCCCGGCTGGGCCTTTTTATGCTTTTAAGATACAATAATTTTAAGAAGATAATCAGTAAAGAAATGCAACAAATGAAAACAAATTATAAGTCTCCTTTATGCCAAGTATATTTGCTTTTTATTTCCACAAAATTTCTCCTCTAAAATGTTTGTATTTTAGAGAAGCACCTTACATTTCTTTGATTTTTACCACAGATAATAAAAATGGTGAGGTATTGGTTCTAGAGCAGAGAGATCGATCAATGGAACATTGATAAACATGGCATAAACCTAATTATGTCTGAGCATTTTGTGTAAGATAAAGGTGACATTTCAAATCTGGGGGAGAGGATGTTGGGACAAATGAATAATCATTTTGAAAAAAGTAAAATTATTAAACACTGTATTTGCCAAATTAAATTCCAGAAGACCGAAATGTATTTAAAAAAAAAAAGAAGAAGCAACCTTAAAAATACTAGCACATAGTATAGTTAAACATTTGTGTATATACCGAGGAGGAAAAACTTCCAAAGCAGGACAGTCAAACTACAAGTCAAGAAGTGAAAGTAGCCCGGCCAGGCGTGGCTCAGCGGTTGAGGATCGACCTAGGATCCAGGCGATCAGGGTTCGATTCCCGGTCAGGGCACATGCCCCCGGGTTGTGGGCTGCAGCTGATCAATGACTCTCTCATCATTGATGTTTCTATCTCTCTCTCTCCCTCTCCCTTCCTCTCTCTGAAATCAATAAAGATATATTTTAAAAAAAAAGAAGTGAAAGTAGACAGATCCAATTCAGTTTTTAAGGAGCTGTTCTACAAAGTTAAACACAGTAAGCAAACCCTAATGAAAAGCATTTGAGGCACATAAAACAAAAAAAGAACCCTTAAATCGTACTGTGAAAATGACAAGAATCAAATAGAAAAGTGGACATTGGGTTACCCTGGGTAGTTCCCTAGAGAAAAGGAAATGGCAGTAGCTGTGTTTAGTACTTCACCTTCGTAGTGGTAAACAAGCAAACTCAGCAGGTTAAACCAACACTGAGGTAAAATTGTTAGTTTGACAGACATAAAAGATTGATAATGATATATAGCATTGAAAAAGATGTGGGGAAATACCATTTTCAGCCTTTTGCCTCGGGTATAAATTGACTTTAGTCTTTCTGAAGGGAAGTTTGTAGTGTGTCACATTTTAAAATGCGTTTACCCATGACCAACAGTTCTAATATTAAGAACTTATTCTAAAGAACGAATTCAACAGCTGTGTTTCTTTTAATAGTGAAAAATTGAAAGTAACCTCTTTGTTCATTGACTGGGAATTGGTAAAATAAGTTGCGATATAACCATTCAAAATGGTAATGTAATTGGTGAAAGAATTTTCGCTAACACATATATAACACATACCTAGCTAACACTTTTACGAGGTGTCAGGCACTGTTCTAAGGAAATAAATATGTATTCTTAAATAAAAACTTCAGTTCATTTTTGTTTAAAAAACAAATACTTAAATATCTATAGAGAGAGAAGCAGTCTATCACATTTATGTTTATTTGTGGGTGTTATGTGTCTGTACGTGTGCAGTAGGCAGAGAAGAGTGTCTCACAGCGACTGTACACCAAGTAGTGTTCATCTCCGGATTGTGGAGTTACCAGTAATAGTTGTTTTCTTGCTTTATACATCTGTTTTCTGAATGCTTGGCAGTTAGCATGTTTCAGTGATGTATTTAACAAATAATTTTTAATGGACATATCACAGTTCCCCGTAGTTACAGCATGCTCTTGGATTATTTGATATTTCCCTTAAAACTATCTTAGATACAACTGTTATATTAAAGATGATATATTTCATTTTTATTAGAATGAAAAAAAACTTGAAAGAGAGAAAAAGAGGCAAAATGTGGAGAAAGACTGTGATGCCTGCCCCCTGAAACATAAAATGGAGCGTGAGCAAATGGAGACACAGAGCCAGATCAGTGACGGTAGCCAAAAAAGCAATGAGTTTGGAACAGTAGAAAATTATAACGAAGCATTAATGCAGCAGTTGGAGAATGAAGATGAGACAGACCAGCCATCATCAGAATCAGGTGATAAATCTAGTTATTAAATAAAAAGATATACATATGTACTATATATAACTTAATTATACTTTTCATTTGTCATGATTATTTTCACAAAAAATGCTGTTTTTTGGTTTGCAAATGCAGTATTTCTCATGGTTTTCAGTTACTCATTAGTCACTTTGTTAACATGTTTATATTCATTATGCCTTAAAATGTAATCTTTGGTAATGTGAATTTCAGCAGAAATTTTCAATTTTACTTTCATAAATTTGGAATGTAGCATAGCCCAAGGAATCCTTTGAATGTGTTTAATACTTTTAAGACTTTTTGGGGGTTTTGTTTGTTTTTAGTTTTTATTAAAATAAATTTTTTTAAAAATGTATCCTTATTGATTTCAGAGAGAGGAAGGGAGAGGAGGAGAGAAAGAAAGAGAGAGAGAGAGAAACATCAATGATGAGAGCGTTGTCACTGATGGGCTGCCTCCTACACGTCCCCTACTGGGGATCGAGCTCAAAACCCTGACTGGGAATTGAACCCCGATCTCCTGGATCATAGGTAGATGCTCAGCCGCTGAGCCACGCCAGCTGGGTTTTTGTTTTTTTAATCCTCATAATGCTACAATCAGGATCACTTTCTTTATTGACATGCTATTTCTGCAGGATGCAGACATAATCAATTGAACATTTTAAAAGTCTTATCAAATAGCCATTTTTCTCTTATTTTAATATATAAAATTTTCAGTTCATAATTACTTTTTTCTTTTTTTTAAAAAAAATATATCTTTATTGATTTCAGAGAGAGGAAAGGAGAGGGAGAGAGACAGAAACACCAATGATGAGAGAGCCATTGATTGAGCCCGCAACCC